GACACCCACTGTCCATCATCAGACCTTCTCTTCAGAATGCTGATACATATGTACCCGGAGCTACTAATATTGGGATGATAAATTTTTGTAAGCATTGTCACCTGTTAACAGGAAAAGGGTTGTTAGAGAGTAGAAACATTTCCCTTGATTTCAAATAAAAATGAAATTACAACATGCAGAATGTAATCAGGAGACAGCTGTTTTTACAAGTGCACATTCACTTACTTTTGGAGGTGAGAGAGGGTAATCATCTGGTATTATAATATCAAGGTTAAATAGTCCTCCCTCATAACTTGACCCAACTGGTCCTTCAATTGCACCTCTCCAATTCATTAAATTCGGGCCGTTTTCCCCTTCCACAGGGGCAAGGCTGACGAGAAAAGCTAAAATTAGTGGCTGTTAAAATTAAATAACAAAAGGGAATAAGGTAAAATTCAATGGAAGTAGAGATAACCCTTTACCTAACAACTCCTTGTGGCAGTCCTTCATTAATTTTCTTCATCTCTCCATTCAACCTGGAAGACAAAGAAGTTTACAGTAGTGAAAAGGTAAAGCTCAAATTGTGGAAAAACAAAACAAACAATGGTACCTGTTCAAAAGCATCTTCTCCATGTTTTCAAAAAAAAAAAAAAACACACAAAAAAAAAACACAGACTTCACAGACGAAAAGAATACGAGAGAACTGGCCTCTTCTCGTCGCTCGAAGTGAGCCACCAGAACCAGAACAAAGGGCTTCCCAATTCTTCCCACCAAACAAAGACGGTAACTTTAAAAAAAAGAAAGAATCAAAACCTTGCAACAAAACTTTTTTTAACAAAAAATAAAAATAAGAAGATCGTTAACTTAAGCTTTCCTCTATTTTTAAAACTCTTGAAACGTTTTTCCGTGTAACAGTGTGTACAGTTTCATTCAAATATAACTTTAAGTAGTGTTGTGTTGTTTAAGTGTTTTAAATTGTGCGCGCATACTAGCTGTGGAATGAATCTATTTCCTGTTCGCCCCAAAGTTGTTGTTTGTGTTGATTTGGCCATGTTTTGGGTGGGAGGTGTTTAGGCGTTGAGAGACGTGTGAAATGCGTCAAAATATCGTAATCCTTGGTAACGAATTTCGTCGCGGTAATTGTACGTGTCGAGGAGGGCCGGCTGTCAGGCAGACTTAACGGCCCCGGGCCGCCCGGGGCCCGAGAGTACCCGAGAGCCTACGAGGTTTGTGCAAGCCGCTCGAACCGAGTCCGTGTAGGCACGCTGAAATTCAATGATTTTCTTCGCCGAACGCAGAGGCTAGGTGTGAAATATGGTGAGTCTTGTTCTGGCCGAGGTGTGGGTGTAATTTTCAGTGTGGTGTAAGGTGTAGAAGACGTTTCTTTTGTCTTTGCTAGTGGGGTCAACCTAACCTCTCAAAGACAGATTGTTAACATCAATTATTGCTGTGAATTCTGAGAATTTTCAGAGACCAGTACCTTTATCTATTGAGGCATCAGGTACTACTTCTTCCAAGAACACTACACTGTGACTGTGAAAAAAGAACGTGTGGCATGCCCTGTGCAGCAGGAGGGGTGTTTCAAAACCTACCAGAGCCCTGTAAGAAGAGAAACCCTTTGACTCACATCCAACAAGAACACAGTAAATATTCAACAGATAGGAGCATTTTAAAGAGAGTTGACAGTCTTTGCTGCACTAAAAAGATCAGTACTGGTCAGCGTTATGAATGCAGTAATTGTGGAGCCAATGTAAGTGTCAATAGCAGCAGGCATAAGGGGAGTAAAGCATGCAAAGAAAAAGCTTTGAAAAACCAGACAGCAAAGTCATAAGTTGATGGTCCAACAATTACCTTGAAATGCTATGCTTAGTAATGTTGCTTTCAATTGAAATTTTAGCAAGTTATAGTGTGTCTGAAAAAGAGTTTTTTTGTCATTTTTTATAAATATATCTACCTAAGAAATAGTTGTTTTGAAAGTGTTCTGTAATCCTACATGTAAGCTGAGTTTCTTATAAATAATAAACTATATACAGTGGTACTTTTAACATAATTAGTGTTCAGACAAGATTGCCTCAGTAATTTAAATCAATCTTATCAAAGAGAATCTTACAAGGTAATTTTAACCTGATTGCATTTTTGTAAATTTGTGTTTAAACACTAAATAGTAGAATAATGTGAGCCAAAAACATCCTGTTTGGTACTGTTCTTTCCGCTTGTGTGCGACAAGTCAAATAATGCTGTAGGTAGATCTGAGATCAGTAAATGTTTGAAAATCCATAGCTGGTGATTGAGTATTTGTACAATCTTGTTAAATACTGATGTCTTGCAACCGAAGCGTTGTATTGTATGAAAATGTTCTCTTGGTTTTGTTACTGAATGTTACTGACAAGATATCTAGTCTGCACTATATTGATGATGGCTCGAGGATTATTTCATGGGAAAATGGCATCTTTACACTTACTTATTTTGTATATTGAGTTTTTTCGAAAGCATGGACTCAATGCTTTCATGTACAGGAAGGAGTATTCTAGTATGCAGTATGGAGTTTTCAAATAAACAAGTTTCGTTATTAATATACTGATCGTCCTTTCCCTTTCAAAGAAAAACAAGTTAACCAAATGTCAAAAAAATCTAATTGGAAATGATGTCATTTCTGACTGTCATTGTGACTACAATTTGACATCAAAATGATTTCATGTGATGTTAAAATGACTTTTTGTCCAGAATGTAGGAAATGAATATTCTCAAGTACTTTGTAATTGGAGGGTGCATATAAGGGGCAATGACACAAGTGTGTAAGTTGCAAATATTTATTGAAATTGACACCACCCCGTCAAGCCACGCCAGCTCGCCAGGCCAGCCCACTCCCATAGGCTGCGCCACCCCGCCAGCCCACGCCACCGGGTATGGTCATCACCGTCGCGCCAGCAGGCCAGCCGGCGTCGCCGCCGCCATCACCACCACGACCACCTGTTCTCCCACCTGGGCACGGTGGAGGGAGAGAAGGTGGCGGCACGAGGGTTCTGCTCGTGGGTCCAGAATCTCGACAGGTTAGGGGATTAACGCCCTAGTCGGGGCCAACTGTAGGGCCTGTTCACACTACCTTCAGTCGGGGCCGCCGTGCAGGTAGGTAGGTGGGAAGCCCAGACTCAGCTTGCGCGGGACGGGCTCGTACCTGACTTCTCTCTCGCACACTCCGGCCGGGTGAGC